CTAGCCATGGACAGCAGCATGGCACTGGCGGCGAAGGTCCCGGCCATGCCTTGGCCACTCAGGAAGAGGGTGCTGTAGCTCTGGGGCAGGGTGCCCAGTTGCCCGAACAGGGTGCCTTGCAGGATGGCGCAGAACGCTGAGTAGACACACAGTGGGTCAGAGCAGTCCCTACCACAGAGGCATCCCCCGCAGAGCCCACTGCCTTGGGGGAAGGGGCACTGAGCCCAGTTCAGGGCCTTGGCAGGACAATCAGAGCAGATGCTAGGGGGTGCCAGGCCGAGCAGCATCTCCCCACCAACTCTTAGCTTCCCTCTCCCGCAAAAATTACACCAGCCCTCTCCGCTCGCCCCCACCTATCAGTCTCAGCTGCGCCTCCCACATGGAAGTGGAGCACTGGCTGCGCGACCCAGGCAAGGAACCCCCAGCCGCAGAAGGAAGCGGATCTTCCCCATCGATGGATGGCGGAGAGCACTGAGAGTCTCTGCACTGGGCTACGTAGGGCACAAGGAAGGGGGAATCTTTGCAGCCCCATTCCCTGCCCTCCCCAGCCAGCCAGCTCCCTGGGGACTCCCAGGGGAAAGCCCCCATGTCCCATTCCCTGCCCGGGTGCTACTCACAGCTAATGAACCACACTGAGCCCATGGTGATGGAGAAGAAGCAGTGGGGAGGCATTTCTATCTTGACCAGCACAGTGGTGAGGATGAAGAGCAGGAGGATGCCGGCCATGCAGCTGAGGATCCGCACCTTGTCTGGGATGCTGTGGCGGGAGAGGGCAAGTCAGAGTCTGAGGGTCTCACCCTTTGGGGCTGACTGGGGATGGGGGGGAGCTGCTCAGCAGGACCACAAGGGTGCGCAGGGGGAGAGGGACCATCTTTCTTCCCTGCTGGCTCCTGAGGTGGGGTTGGAGCTCTGGGGTTGCTTATAAAGTGCCCTTCCCCCTCCTCCTGATGAGGCTGTCAGGGGTAGAAGCCGCTGCAGGGGGTCAGGGCTGAGAGCCCCATGGGCACCAACTTTCCCTCCAGCCAGGGGTGCTCAACCCTTCCTTCCGCCCAGATGCTGCCCCTGCTCTTCCCCTTTCCCCAAAGCCCTGCCCCCACTGCCTCTTCCCCATGACATGCCCCATCCCAGCTCCTCCCACCCGCTCCCCGAGCTTCCAGAATCTTGGGAATCAGCTGTTGGCACAAGTGGAAGCAGGAGCGGGAGGAGTTGGTCAGCAGGGCCACCAGCGGCCAAGGGGAAGGGGGAACGGG